TGCACGGGCGGAGAGCTTGTCCGCAGTGGTATCGCGGACAAAGGCACGAGCACCCCAGACCCGGAAACGCGACGCATCGCCAACCTTCCCCGTCCACAGCAGTGTGGGCGAGGTCTCCGGCAAGGAGACACGGGGCCAGAGGTTGAGCTGATGCGCGGCGTACCGGACCGCAAACGGCCACAGAAAATGGGGGGCAGCCGCATGGATCATGGAGGTACGAGCGACCTCCATGACCAAGCCAATGCGGCGCTCAGCAACCCCATTCTGCTGCGGAGAGTCCGGAAGCGTGAACGACTGGGTGATGCCGTGCTCCGCACAGAAGGCTGCCAAGAGGTCTGAGGAGAACTCACCACCTCTGTCAGAGTGCAGACGCAGGACGGGAAACTCCGTCCCAAACCGCTCGCGGAGCTGGAGACGGGCAGCGCGGATCCAAGGGATCAAAACAGCAGGGACCTCCCCCTTGCTGCGCAGGGGAAAGACCGTGGTGTAACGCGTGTAGTCGTCAACAACCAGCAGGAAGTACCGCTCGTGGCCCTGTCCACGGACGCGGGCGGGGCCCCACACGTCCAGGTGGAGAGTCTGCAGGGGAGCCTCTGTGGGAGGGAACGAGGAGGAGTGAGGAGCGGCGCGCTGCCGCCCCTCGACGCAAGGAATGCAGGGCGGCGCAAGCGAGGGAGGCAGGGCAGGCAAAGACCTGGGAAGACCAGAAACCAGGAAGCGAGAGTGCATGCCACGAAGGCGCTGCACCGAGGGGTGACCAAGGCGGTGGTGCCACAGGAGGGTCTGGTGCGACAAAGCGCGACACTCGCAGGTGGCCATCGGCTGACCTGACGCAGACGCAGACGCAGCTACCTGAGGGGACTCAGTGGTCAGGGTGTACAGACTCGAGCCAGGCGCACGGGAAAACGTGGCCAGATGTCGGCCGGTCCGAGCACACGTACAGTGAGTCACTCGCTGACTCGCAGGAGTGAACTGGTGCACCCCCCTATCCTGGAGGTCAGCTCCACTCACCAAGTTCGTAGAGAACGAGGGGAGGTAAAGACCTGACAGCAAGCCAGACGGGGCGGCCGGACACGGTAGAACCGTGGAGTAGTGGGCAAGGACCGGACCCCCGGAGGGGTCCGCCAGGGAGACTGGAACCGGCCGACTAAGCGGCGTGAGTGTGGTACAGTCGCGAAAGAAGGAGCGGGAAGCACCTGAGTCCAGCGTGAAGGTGTACAAGGCCGCAGCAGGCGCAGACCCAGAGAGAGCAGACTCACCAGCACCTGGAGCAGGAGACGTACCGGCACCTAGAGCAGCAGCCTCACCAGGACCCAGAGGAGGAGACGCACGAGCACCTAGGGCAGCAGCCTCACCAGTACCGGGAGCAGCAGGCGCTATACCAGGGTCAGGCGGGACGCACAGGTAACAGGCACGGTCAACACTAGTAGGTAATGCATACATGGTAGTGAGAATAGCATCATAGTCAGGAGCAAAGATATCTACCCTCCGTCCAAGCAGCTCCAGCCAGTCGGGGAGCTCAGCCTCGTCTCCAAACACTGTACGCCAGTCGTCGCTCAGACGGGCGAAGCAGCGGGACTGTGTGTGACCAAGCGTCCCGCAAGGCTGACCAACCCGATCACCTGTGCGAATGACGTACTGGCAGCGAACTGTACGCGTAGACCTGCTACACTGAGCGTACCACTCGTGGAGCTGCCGGGACGTAAGTGTCTCGCGAGGACGCCGCTGCAGCTGCAGCTGGCCACTGCCGGACGCTCCCAACTGACCAGCTCCAGGGGGACAGCTACGACTGCTACCGCGACAACCCCAGCTAGTATACCACTCACTAAGCTGCTGGGGCGTGAGAGACTCTCGCGAACGTCGCTGGGGCTGCATCTGGCCACCGGCCAGTAGCAGTAGCAGCAGCAGTAGCGCGGGCAGGGCAGGCGCGGCAGGCCGACAGGCAGGCAGGCCGGCAGGCAGACAGACAGACAGGCCGGCAGGCAGGCAGGCAGGCAGGCAGACAGACAGGCAGGCAGGCAGGCAGGCAGGCAGGCAGGCCGGTAGGCAGGCAGGCAGGCAGGCAGGCAGACAGGCCGGCAGGCAGGCAGGCCGGCAGGCCGGCAGGCAGGCAGGCAGGCAGGCAGGCCGGCAGGCAGGCAAGCAGACAGGCAGGCCGGCAGGCTGGCAGGCAGGCAGACAGGCAGGCCGGCAGGCAGGCAGGCAGACAGGCAGGCCGGTAGGCAGGCAGGCAGGCAGGCAGGCAGGCGCTCACCAAAGGCTGGAAGAGCAGGCGCTCGCCGGGCGAGCAGGGCCGGCGCTCAACGGGCGGCGGCGGAGTAGGCGCACGACAGCGGCGACGTCGGGGCCGCAACACCCGGTGCAGAGTAGGGCCGAAGCAGCTGCAGGGCGGGGCCGCTTCAGCGGCAGGTCGGGGCCGTGGCAGCTGCAGAGCGGGGCCGTATCAGCGGCAGGTCGGAACCGAGGCAGAGGGACGCGCGCGGCTCGGCGCGGGCTGCGCTGACAGCGCGCTGGGCTGCTGCGGGCGGCGCGCGGGCCGCGTGCGGCTCGGTGCGGGCTGCGCGCGGCTGCAGCGGGCTGCGCGCGGCTCGGTGCGGGCTGCGCGCTGCCGCAGCGGGCTGCGCGCGGCTCGGTGCGGGCTGCGCGCGGCTGCAGCGGGCTGCGCGCGGCTCTGTGCGGGCTGCGCGCGGCTGCAGCGGGCTGCGCGCGGCTGCAGGGGGCTGCGCGCGGCTGCAGGGGGCTGCGCGCGGCTCGGTGCGGGCTGCGCAGGCCTGAAGGGCGTGTAGGGGCGGCGCGCGGGCCTTACGGGCCTCTAGGGGCAGTGCGCTGGCCTAGGGCAGCAGGAGGCAGCGCTAGGGCTGCTGGACGGCTCGCGTAGTGCAGCACGTCACAAGGCAAGGCAAGGCTACGTGGGGTAGCGCGGTAACCGCAGTGGTAGGTGGGCCCGAAAAAAACGGTCCTACGGACCTTAGTGCTCTGAAACCATGTTAGAATCTGGCAGCAGGAATGATGAACTAACAGCATGCAGGAGTACAAGTAGGAAACCCTAATTTGGTTGTACCCCATATGGGCTACCCCACTACAGCCTAGACAATATGCAGCATACATGTTTGACACCCCCCCCCCCCCCCCCCCCATTTTTTTAGCATAGAGAGCTCTCCAACAATGCTGGTGGTTATCCATTGAATAAGGAAATAACGTGTTTCCTATGTACGCTTGTGTAGACCATATTTATAGCTGCTCTATGCTTTGCTCTGCATGGTATTTACCTTAGTGTATTAACCTTGGGATTTGGAGTTGGGAAAATATGTCAATGGTAACTTATATGGGGCACTATAACGCGTACCGTAACTATTACATTGAATTTTAACGCGTTTGGTAAATCGTTTCACGCGTTTGGTAACTATACACTGCCAACCGATAACGCGAATGGTAACTAGAAGTAACCATCACCCGAAATGACCTCGTTTATAAATTTTCGCGCTCGCGCGAATTAATTTTGACGAATCCTGATGCATCGCGTACTGCCTACCACGCACATAATCCCGAACCAAGATAATTAACAAAAAATGTACGGTTTAGTGAACTATTTTGAAACAATAGACACGTTTCGACACGCACGTTTGGACCTTAATGTTTGGCTCTTTTGGTTGTGTTCGTGGGGCAAAAATATAGAACTCTTTTGGATGGCATGCGATTCTGAAAGAATCAACCCTAAACACCTTGCGACAAGGTTAAAACAAGTGGCAAAAAAACTCGAAGATATTTGTGATACTGAACGTCTAAATTTTAAAAACTTGCCCATATTGGAAACAAGCCCTAAACGCATTGTCGCAAGGTGTTTATGGTTGATGTTCTCAGAATCGCTTGCCATCTGAAAGTGGTTTATTATTTTTGCCCCGGCTTTGTGGTAGAATTGGAAAAAACAATGTCCAAAATAAGCGCTGAAATAATCATTTTTTGTAAAACAACGTTTTTTTTACTGCTACTCGTGCGTCAATCTCTCGATTTTAGAAAGTGTGTCAGAAATTGGTAGGTCAGGATTCGTCGATTCAGTCTGGCGCAAGTGGGAAAAACCATAATCAGGGTCATTCTGAGTGAGCGTTTCTTCTAGTTACCATTCGCATGATTGCTTGGCAGTGTATAGTTACCAAACGCGTGAAACGAGTTACCAAACGCGTTAAAATTCACTGTGATAGTTACCGTACGCGTTATAGTGCCCCATGTAAGTTACCATTGACATATTTTCCCTTTGGAGTTCCCAAAGTCCGCGCAAGCTGAGGCGGTGGCGGGGCGGGGCTGACGAAGACTTTTGCGGGAAGAAGTGCGCAAGCAAAAGCTTTTCCCCCACCAAAAAAAGCTGTTCGTTCGCCAAGCAGTCGCTGGGAAGTCTAGGGCATAGTAGCTTCTGGCGTGCTTTCCCGAGGGCTGCTGACGTGCCGTCCGTCCCGCTCGATCCGCTCCACCCTCCGCCCCTCATCTTCCGCCTTCCGCTCACTCCGCTCCGCCTGTCCACAGCCACTAGCCCTTGGGATTCAACCATGGCTTCCCGGCTGCTAGCCGCCGCGTCCCGCGCGGCTCGTTCCGCGTCCGGCCGCAGATCTGGCTCGATCGCGCCGTTCCGCGCATTCTCCGCGCAAGCGTCCTCCGCAGCCGTGCAGATAGTGGACGAGGACCGATTTGCGCGCTACAACTCGCCGATTCCCGTAACCGTCGATCACAGCGCGGCCCTCGGGCTTATCCCGGCGACACGTGTCACGACCTTATCCAACGGCCTTCGCGTCGCGAGCGAGGCGAGTCCGAACCCAAACGCGCCGAAGACGGCGACGATCGGCGTGTGGATCGACGCGGGGAGCCGGTACGAGAGCGAGGCTACTAACGGAACCGCGCATTTTCTGGAGCATATGATTTTCAAGGGGACTAAGAGACGGTCCGTGCAGCAGTTGGAGATGGAGGTTGAGAATGCCGGAGGACATCTTAACGCGTACACGTCGCGCGAGATGACAACGTATTACGCGAAGGTGGTGCAGAAGGACATTCCCGTCGCTGTAGATCTGCTGGGGGACATTCTGCAGAATTCGCTCTTTAGCGAGGATGCGGTGGACCGCGAGCGCGGGGTCATTCTGCGGGAAATGCAGGAGGTACGTTCTGTTTGATTAAAGCACTAGCACACTGCGAACTGTAGAACGTTTTTCGCGGGAAAGGTACCGTGCTAGTTACCTTTCGTCACCCGGTAGCGGTGTTGACGCAGGCTCGCCGACGTACAAACAAACGTGTGAAGGCGGCGGCGTGAGTACCTGCTCGCATAAACATGCCTACGGTACAAAGGCGGTGGCATAAAGACTTGCTAGAGCAGCGATCGGCAACGTTGTCGTACCTACTAGTAGTTGTGGTGATCGTAATGGTTTCTCTTTTTGCAGCGTAAGGAGAACGACGCTTCCGGCCGGCTTCAGCTCTCGCCTTGCCGTTCAGATCCAGAAACAAGTGGATGCGGTGTCGTTTGGCTTTCAAGCCCGTGTCAGTCTCCTCCTTCCCTCCTTCCCCCTCCCCTTCCCGCCTCTCCCCCTCTACCCGCCGCTTTCCCCCTTTTTCCCCCCCTCCTCCCCATCCCCCCCCCCCCCCCCCCCCCCTCCTCCTCCCTCCCGCAGATCGAGAAGCAGGTGGAGGAGGTGTTATTTTATCATCTGCACGCCACGGCGGTTCAGTTCAGCCCGCTGAAGCGCACCATTCTGGGCTCCCTTGTAGCGTCCCCTTTCCTCCCCTCACCCACCCGCGCCCTTTCCCCTCTTCCCTCTTCCCTCTTCCCTCTTCCCTACACACGCACGCAGATCGAGAAGCAGGTGGAGGAGGTGCTGTTCGACCACCTGCACGCCACGGCGTTTCAGTTCAGCCCGCTGGGGCGCACCATCCTGGGCTCCGCGGACAACGTGCGCGCCATCACGCGCGACGACCTCGAGAAGTACATTGCCACGCACTACACCGGGCCCAGGATGGTGAGCTTATAGCGGGGATGAATGTGGGTGGGTGGTGTGAGTGTGGGGGAGGAGGGGGGAGTTGGGGGAAGGGGGGGGCGCACCATCCTGTGCTCCGCGGACAACGTGCGCGCCATCACAAGAGACGACCTTGAGAAGTACATTGCGACTCACTATACCGGCCCCGGATGGTGAGCTTATAGCGGGGATGAGCGTGGGTGGGTGTGTTTGTGGGGCGGTGGGGGCTTGAAAAGGGGCGCATGCATGTGCTTGTGTGCAAACATGTGCTGTGCTTCCATCCACCTCCATGCCTTCTCTCCGTCACTTTCACTACGTTCCCACCCTGACTTCTTCCCACCCTGACTTCTTCCCACCCTGACTTCTTCCCACCCTGACTTCTTCCCACCCTGACTTCTTCCCACCCTGACTTCTTCCCACCCTGACTTCTTCCCACCCTGACTTCCCACCCTGACCCTTATCACTCCCTTACGTTCTCACCACCTTACCTTTCCTCTCTCACCCCCAGGTGGTGGCGGCACGGCAGCAGGAGCGGTGGACCACGTTGCTCTAGTCAAGATGGTGGCGAAGACCTTCGCCTCGCTGCCTGCTGCCTTTCCCTAACCAAACCCCCCTGCCCTAACCGATCCCAACCCTCCCCCATGCCCCCCTCACCCACCCCCAGGTGGTGGCGGCAGCAGGAGCGGTGGACCATGATGCGCTGGTGAAGATGGTGGAGAAGACTTTCGCGTCGCTGCCTGCTGCCAGTCACTCCCACCGAACCACCCCAACCACCCCCACCACCCCTGTGCCCTGCCGTTGTCGCATCGCCCGCTCCCCTCTGCCCCCAGGTGGTGGCAGCAGCAGGATCGGTGGACCATGACGCCCTGGTGAAGATGGTGGAGAAGACTTTCGCCTCGCTGCCTGCCTGCTGCCAGTCACTAACCAAACCCCCCTGCCCTAACCAACCCCACAACCCCCCATGCTCCCGTACCTTCAGGTGGTCTCAGCAGCAGGGGCGGTGGATCATGATGCCCTGGTGAAGATGGTGGAGAAGACTTTCGCCTCGCTGCCTGCTGCCAGCACCACCACGGTCGCTGACCTCATCGCCAAGGAGCCCTCCAAGTTCACAGGTGCGCGCTGGTCATGGTGGTGGTGTGTGTAAGCAAACATCATTCGAGATTATAAATAGGCCACCAGCCACTGCTGCCTGCTGCCAGCACCACCACGGCTGCTGACCTCATCACCAAGGAGCCCTCCAAGTTCACAGGTGCGTCTGTCCATACCGTGGGGCCAGCTTCGAGAATATAGATGCGCCACCACTGTTGCTGCTGCCTGCCTGCTACCAGCACCACCACGGCTGCTGACCTCATCGCCAAGGAGCCCTCCAAGTTCACAGGTGCGTCTGTCCATACCGTGGGGCCAGTTTCGAGAATATAGATGCGCCACCACTGTTGCTGCTGCTGCCTGCTGCCAGCACCACCACGGCTGCTGACCTCATCGCCAAGGAGCCCTCCAAGTTCACAGGTGCGTCTGTCCATACCGTGGGGCCAGCTTCGAGAATATAGATGCGCCACCACTGTTGCTGCTGCCTGCCTGCTACCAGCACCACCACGGCTGCTGACCTCATCGCCAAGGAGCCCTCCAAGTTCACAGGTGCGTCTGTCCATACCGTGGGGCCAGTTTCGAGAATATAGATGCGCCACCACTGTTGCTGCTGCTGCCTGCTGCCAGCACCACCACGGTCGCTGACCTCATCGCCAAGGAGCCCTCCAAGTTCACAGGTGCGCGCTGGTCATGGTGGTGGTGTGTGTAAGCAAACATCATTCGAGATTATAAATAGGCCACCAGCCACTGCTGCCTGCTGCCAGCACCACCACGGCTGCTGACCTCATCGCCAAGGAGCCCTCCAAGTTCACAGGTGCGTCTGTCCATACCGTGGGGCCAGCTTCGAGAATATAGATACGCCACCACTGTTGCTGCTGCTGCCTGCTGCCAGCACCACCACGGTGGCTGACCTCATTGCCAAGGAGCCCTCCAAGTTCACAGGTGCGCGCTGCTGCTGCTGCTGCTGCTGCTGCTGTTGCTGCTTCTGCTATCCAGGTTCGCATGTCAGTGGTGCGGGGCCACCACTTTCGACAAGTTTCATAAGTCCCCATTGTTGCCAACTATCTTATCAGCAACGCCCCCCACAATTTCCCCCTCCAGGCTCCGAGGTGCGCATCCGTGATGACGAGATGCCGCTGACCAACTTCGCCATCGCCTACAAGGGCGCCAGCTGGACGGTTCGCATGATGAGTGATTTTTGAGAATTCTCAAGAAAGAATTTCGAGAATTCTCAAAAATCACTCACAAGGACTGTTCGCATGATGACCTCTCCTTCCCCCCATTCCTCTCGTCTCCTCCCCTTTCCTTCCCCCTCCACCCTCCCCATCCTTTCAGGTTCCGAGGTGCGCATTCGTGACGACGACATGCCCTTGACCAACTTCGCCATCGCCTACAAGGGCGCCAGCTGGACGGACCCCGATGCCGTGGCGCTGCAGGTCATGCAGACCATGCTGGGGTCCTGGAGCCGCGGCGCTGGTGGCGGAAATGCTCTGGGGTGAGTAAGATACATGTGTCCAGGTGGTACCATGGCATGGTATTGCGAGCCGTGGCCCAGCTGGACCGACCCCGATGCCGTGGCGCTGCAGGTCATGCAGACCATGCTGGGGTCGTGGAGCCGCGGCGCTGGCGGAGGCAACGCGTTGGGGTGAATCATATGGTGGATGGATACAGAGTTACTTGGAAATGCTAATTTCAGGTCATGAAGGCCATGCTGGGGTCCTGGAGCTGTGGTGCTGGTGGAGGGAACGCGCTGGGGTGAGCAGTTATGGGGGATGATGGGTGGGTGTGTGTGTGGTGACTTGTGGGTAGCAAGCATGCGCGAGAGGGCGATAGGGTTGTGGCGTTTAACACCATCCGCTTCCCCTCCAGTCTCTGTGTATGTCGTCTGTGTCTCTTTGCCCTTCCTCCCCATCTGCCCCTGCCATTTCAGTTCCAAGTTGTCGCAGAAGGTAGCGGCCAACAGCCTGTGTGAGCGATTGATGGCGTTCAACACCAACTACCTCCACTCCAGTCACTCTCTATCGTTGCCCCTCTCCTTTCCCGGCCACTCTCCCTCATGCCCTCTCCTCCACCATCCCCTCTATGATATGTGCCCCTTCTCTCTCTCCCAGGTCGGAGTTGGCACAGAAGGTAGCGGCCAACAGTCTATGTGAGCGATTCATGGCATTCAACACCAACTACTCAGACACGGGTCTCTTTGGCGTCTACGCCTGCGCCAAGGTGGGTGGGTGTTCCTGTGGGTGGTTGCTGTTTCTTGCTGTCACTACCGTTACTTTTCAGGGTTTATTTAGTCCTGAGAAACACCTTGCTTTACGTCACGCATGTGATCATCCGATGCTTCCTTAGCTTAGCTTCTCCTTCTCATGTGACTTTTGAGTCGACTCAAAAGTTACCTCGTGATCATCCGATGCTTCCTTAGCCTAGCTTCTCCCTCTCATGTCCCCATGCATGTGCGCAGCCCTAGTATCTTTACTGGACGACCTAGTGTGGGCGATGATGCATGACATCACTCGCCTCGCCGCACCCATCATGCGCTGTGTCACAAATGCCCGCTCTACCCTGTCGTACCCCTAATGTTTTTTTAGAATTCTCAAAAGCATTCCCCGCCCTACCCTGTCGTACTCCTTTTCTTCCAATGCTGATGCTCTGTGCTGCCTGTTGCCCTGAGCAGCCTGACCATCTGGACGACCTAGCATGCATGGGCCATGATGTATGAGATCACTTGCCCTGTCTACCGTATGATTTATCTGGACGACCTAGCATCTCGTGTGCCCACCCACCCTACCCTGTCCTGTTCCCGATTTCCCCCTTTGATTTTATGTTCTCTTCTGTCTTCTGCCTGTTGCACATGAGCAGCCCGACCATCTGGATGATCTCGCGTGGGCCATGATGCATGAGATCACTCGCCGCACCCATCGTGCGCTGCACTGTGCCTCTAATGCCCACCCTACCGTGTCCTATTCCCTATCTCCGTTTGTTGCACATGAGCAGCCCGACCATCTGGACGACCTCGCGTGGGCCATGATGCACGAGATCACTCGCCTCGCTTACCGTGTGTCTGATGATGACGTCACCCGCGCTGGCAATGCGGTGAGTGCCACGTCAGCAAGTTGCCAGCCGTTTAATTGGGCATGCTGGATCTACACCTGCAATTGCACCTTTATCTGCAATTGCACCTTTATCTGCAATTGCACCTTTATCTGCAATCGCACCTTTATCTGCAATTGCACCTTTATCTGCAATCGCACCTTTATCTGCAATTGCACCTTTATCTGCAATTGCACCTTTATCTGCAATTGCACCTTTATCTGCAATTGCACCTTTATCTGCAATTGCACCTTTATCTAAAAGAAGATACCGTGTAGATTTGCTCATAAAAGATTATGCAGCAAGCCTAGCACAACAAGGCTTCCACAAAAAAGCTGAAAACTTACTTCAGACAATGTACAGCCTGATAGATGCACAAGATTTAGAAGCACTACACAAGCTTATTACAGCAGAAAAAATGGTCTGCCCTATTGCAAATACTAGCAACTGGACAGAAGTGAGACACTTTAACCTCATGTTTACCACGCAAATAGGGGCACTTGAAGAGGAAGCCAATCTCCTTTACCTAAGGCCAGAAACAGCACAAGGAATTTTTGTAAACTTTGCCAATGTAAGGTAATGGATATACCACAGATGGAAGTAGGAAGGCACTTGGAGGTATTGCAACAAGTACGTCCAGAGGAAATTGCATTGCTTGAACGTTGTAAAAAGGAAGTAAACATAAACATACAGACAGTTAAAAAAGCAATTCACATCATCAAAAAATACCATGCACCTGTAAAAAGAAAGTCAGGAGAACCTTTTTATCTACATCCTATTGCGGCTACTGATATTTTATTGAATTATACTAAAGATCATCATACTATTCTAGCCACACTCTTACACGATATTGTAGAAGATACGGCTTTAACATTAGCAGAAATAGGCATTATTTTTAATCCTGAAGTGGCTACTTTAGTGAGTAAAGTTACTCATCTTGATGGTCAGTTGAAACGTCTCAACATGAACACTTATGAAAGGCTACAGAGACTTTTAGAAGAACAGGATGTGCGTGTGTTGCATATTAAGCTTGCTGACCGTTTGCACAACATGTGTACTATTCAGGGACATGCTTTGCCCCTTTATCTGCAATTGCACCTTTATCTGCAATTGCACCTTTATCTGCAATTGCACCTTTATCCACCATTGCTTGTCCTGGCCTCTTCACGCTGCCCACTGGTGATGCAATTCATTATGCTTTTGTCATCTTCATACATTTTTAAAGTAGCTTGAGCACTTCCCCATCCAGTGGTGTCACACCACCTAAAAACGCCACCGTTGTCGATTTTTCCACTCTCCCTTCCTCCCCTCTTACCTTCCCTTCCTCGTCCCTTCCTCCTCTTCTCTCTTCTCGCTTCTCTCTTCTCTCATCCGCACCACAACTCAACATGTCCCTGGCACTGCATCTGGACGGCTCGAGTGCAGTGGCGGAGGACACCAGCTTGCAGCAGCTCACAAGCACACTTCCCTCCCTCCATAATCCCCACCCGCTCCAACCCCCTCCCCCCTCCATCCAACCCAACCCACAGCTCAAGGCGTCCCTGGCGCTGCATCTGGACGGCTCGATTGCAGTGGCGTAGGACATAGGGCGGCAGCTGATTACAATCACGCGTCCCTATCTCGCCAGATATACCCACCCGTTACCCCCTCCCACCCCTTTCCACCCCTTCCCGCCCACCCCATAGCTGAAGGCCTCCCTGGCGCTGCATCTGAACTGCTGGAGTGCAGTGGCAGAGGACATCGGCTTGCAGCAGCTTATTAGCCACTCACACTAGTCCCTCCCATCTGTGTACCCCATCCACCCCTACCCTCCCCAACCCACACCAACCTATTCCAACCCACCCCTCAGCTGAAGGCGTCCCTGGCGCTGCATCTGGACGGCTCAAGCGCAGTGGCGGAGGACATTGGGCGGCAGCTGATCACGTACGGGCGGCGCATCCCCCTGGCTGAGATGTTTGCTCGTATCGATGCTGTGGATGCTGACACAGTGAAGCGCGTTGCAGAGCGGTTCCTGCTGGATAGGGTGAGAAGTGGGATGGGTAACAAGGGGTGATGATGGGTGATGATGTGTGATGATGGGTGATGATGGTGGGAGTAGGTGTGCTGGTGGTTCATAAGGGTTGTGCGTGCATCGATGCAGTGGACGATGAGACGGTGAAGCGCATTGCAGAGCGGTTCCTGCTGGACTGGGTGAGGCGTCTGCTGAATGATGATAGGTGATAGTAGTCATCGGCCGCACTCAATCCCTCTGGAACTCTAACTGCCTGCACCATTCACTGACGTGCTCTGTGCGATACTAAATCTTGCCCATCCCTCCCTTTCCCCCCAAACAGGACGTGGCAGTGGCAGCTATCGGCCCGACTCAGTTCCTCCCAGACTACAACTGGCTGCGCCGACGCACCTTCTGGCTGCGATACTAAGTGTTGCGCTTAAGTGTTTCCACACTGGGTGTTGCACTATTGATGCTAAGTGTCGCGGTTAGTCAGGCCCGGAATTAGGAAGGTCCAATTTAACCAATCCAAGCCTGGTCCTGGTCCTGGTCCTGGTCCTGGTCCTGGTCCTTGTCCTGGTCCTGGTCCTGGTCTTGCTGGTCCTAATGGCGACATGTGCTGCTGCACGTTTTCTTGCTGCTGCTAGTGTTGGAAGCATGTTTTCTCAGCCCAACAGCTGGTAGATTAGGGAGAGTGGATCAGTTTGTACGATGCAATCAGTATCTGATGGGTAAAGCTGACTATCGTTGCTGCTAGATCCTTAGCTGTTGTTGCATGTTCCCTCTTCCTTCCTGCGCTTGTTGTTTGTTTGTGTGATGTGGTATCAAATATCTGCCTAATGGCCCAATACAAGTGCTGCCAGCCAAGTCTACTTAGGCAACCTCCCTGTCTCTAAGAGTGCATTGATCTTGGCTTTATGTGGTCGCTCACGATATAAATCCAGTGTAGTACCATACAAACACTGCCCTTGCTGTCACACAAGATTGCTGAATAATATCGGTTGACATTCATAGGCTGCGGTGAGGAAGGGAACCAACTTTCTATTCTGACATGCCAGATGAGATGTGATGTACCCCGTACTAGATCCAAGCCCAAGCATCTGTTAAACACACCAATATAGCTGGTGGTTCTAGTGCTGCTGCTGCTAGTGGTGGCTTTTGAGGTGCCTCAGAAGTGTTCACCAATATAGCTGGTGGTTCTAGTGCTGCTGCTGCTAGTGGTGGTGGTGCGAGGATGGACTCTCCACCAATCGTTTCAATGCCGCAAACTCAGGCTCATCAAGGAATGCTGCCATTTCTGCCAGGGCGGCGTCTTTTGTTGGCTTGTGCGGGGCATGGGCCAGTGCTGCCACGACCTTGGCACTGCAGAGAGAGAGGAGGGGGAGAAGGGGAAGGAAGAGGAAAAGGGAAAAGGAAAGTCGAAGGGAAAAGGGAAAAGTGGAACGAAGACAGGAAAAGAGGAATGGAAACAATAAAAAAAATAAAACAAACAAAAAAAAACAAGAGGAAGGGAAAAAAGGAGGGTGAAGTGGGAAGGAAAGCAGGGAGAGGGCGAGGGAAGAGAGGAGAAAAGAAAAAAGTTCCTGGAGTAAATCCGATAGCTCCTAATGTGTGTACTTTCCCGTCTCACCTGTGCCCTGTGCCCCACTCCCTGCATCGCCCTTGCAGTGCCTCTCGCCACAACACAGCACAAAACGGCTCCACTTCCCCTTCCGCTCCTGCTTCTTCCTCTTCCGACTCTGCCGTTTCTGCTTCTCCCTCTGCCGCTGCAGCTGCTGCTGCCAGTCTCTCTTCATCAGCCACCAGGCGCCTGAGCACTCTGCTCCCGAAAAAGTCCTCCAACACGTGGCTCGGCTGCTGCTGCTCCTCTTCCCCTCCACCCTCCGCGTTCTCCTCTCCCGCTTCCACCTCCTCACCCTCATCTTCCTTCTCCTCCTTCTGTCCCTTCTTGCTCTTCCCCTTCCCCTTTTTCCCCTTCTTTCCTTTCTCGCTCTTGGCGTTCCCAGCAGCGCCAGCAGCAGCAGGGGGGCGGGGGACAGAGGCAGCAGCGGCAATGGCAGAGTGCAGGGCGGAGAGCAGTGAGGGGTGATACAGGGCGAGCAGAGAGGAGTCCCCTCCTCGGGCAAGCTGGGAGAGGTGGGATGGGTGGGGGTGAACCACCGAGGGAGCAGTATTAGTGGGGGGACGGGGAGCAGAGGCAGCGCAGCAATGGCAGAGTGCAGGGCGGAGAGGAGCGAGGGAGGGGTGATGAGGTGGGGAAGGAGTTTTGAGGCGCCTCAAAAATTGGTGGTGCGAGGCGGAAAGAAGCGAGGGAGGGGTGATGCGGTGGGGAAGGAGTTTTGAGGCGCCTCAAAAATTGGTGGTGCGAGGCGGAAAGAAGCGAGGGAGGGGTGATGCGGTGGGGAAGGAGTTTTGAGGCGCCTCAAAAATTGGTGGTGCGAGGCGGAAAGAAGCGAGGGAGGGGTGATGCGGTGGGGAAGGAGTTTTGAGGCGCCTCAAAAATTGGTGGTGCGAGGCGGAAAGAAGCGAGGGAGGGGTGATGCGGTGGGGAAGGAGTTTTGAGGCGCCTCAAAAATTGGTGGTGCGAGGCGGAAAGAAGCGAGGGAGGGGTGATGCGGTGGGGAAGGAGTTTTGAGGCGCCTCAAAAATTGGTGGTGCGAGGCGGAAAGAAGCGAGGGAGGGGTGATGCGGTGGGGAAGGAGTTTTGAGGCGCCTCAAAAATTGGTGGTGCGAGGCGGAAAGAAGCGAGGGAGGGGTGATGCGGTGGGGAAGGAGTTTTGAGGCGCCTCAAAAATTGGTGGTGCGAGGCGGAAAGAAGCGAGGGAGGGGTGATGCGGTGGGGAAGGAGTTTTGAGGCGCCTCAAAAATTGGTGGTGCGAGGCGGAAAGAAGCGAGGGAGGGGTGATGCGGTGGGGAAGGAGTTTTGAGGCGCCTCAAAAATTGGTGGTGCGAGGCGGAAAGAAGCGAGGGAGGGGTGATGCGGTGGGGAAGGAGTTTTGAGGCGCCTCAAAAATTGGTGGTGCGAGGCGGAAAGAAGCGAGGGAGGGGTGATGCGGTGGGGAAGGAGTTTTGAGGCGCCTCAAAAATTGGTGGTGCGAGGCGGAAAGAAGCGAGGGAGGGGTGATGCGGTGGGGAAGGAGTTTTGAGGCGCCTCAAAAATTGGTGGTGCGAGGCGGAAAGAAGCGAGGGAGGGGTGATGCGGTGGGGAAGGAGTTTTGAGGCGCCTCAAAAATTGGTGGTGCGAGGCGGAAAGAAGCGAGGGAGGGGTGATGTGGTGGGGAAAGAGTTTTGAGGCGCCTCAAAAATTGGTGGTGCGAGGCGGAAAGAAGCGAGGGAGGGGTGATGCGGTGGGGAAAGAGTTTTGAGGCGCCTCAAAAATTGGTGGTGCGAGGCGGAAAGAAGCGAGGGAGGGGTGATGCGGTGGGGAAAGAGTTTTGAGGCGCCTCAAAAATTGGTGGTGCGAGGCGGAAAGAAGCGAGGGAGGGGTGATGCGGTGGGGAAAGAGTTTTGAGGCGCCTCAAAAATTGGTGGTGCGAGGCGGAAAGAAGCGAGGGAGGGGTGATGCGGCGCCTCAAAAATTGGTGGTGCGAGGCGGAAAGAAGCGAGGGAGGGGTGATGCGGTGGGGAAGGAGTTTTGAGGCGCCTCAAAAATTGGTGGTGCGAGGCGGAAAGAAGCGAGGGAGGGGTGATGCGGTGGGGAAAGAGTTTTGAGGCGCCTCAAAAATTGGTGGTGCGAGGCGGAAAGAAGCGAGGGAGGGGTGATGCGGTGGGGAAGGAGTTTTGAGGCGCCTCAAAAATTGGTGGTGCGAGGCGGAAAGAAGCGAGGGAGGGGTGATGCGGTGGGGAAGGAGGGGTGCACGGTGGGGAAGGAGGGGTGCACGGTGCGAGGTGGATGAGGGGTGCACGGTGCGAGGTGGATGAGGGGTGCACGGTGCGAGGTGGATGAGGGGTGCACGGTGCGAGGTGGATGAGGGGTGCACGGTGCGAGGTGGATGAGCGGGGAGGGAGGGTGAGAGGTGGGGGGGATTGTGTTACAGTTTTGATGTGTGGAAAGGAAGGGAGGAGGAATGAACAAGAGCAAGGCAGGAAGAGTGTTGATTGAGCTGTGAGGGCCAGATGAGATTGTATCAGCGCGTCATTTAGCTGCACCCATGTCACAAGCGAAACTGTAACAGTGCATAGTGCCTCGTAGATGAAACTGTAACGGTGCTTAGTACCCTGTAGGTAAAACTGTAACGGTGCATGATACCTCGTAGATGAAACTGTAACGGTGCATAGTACCTCCTTGATGAAACTGTAACGGTGCATAGTACCTCGTAGATGAAACTGTAACGGTGCATAGTACCTCGTAGATGACATCAGATGCGAACTGAGAGGTGAGCATGGCCCCTGCATGCTCCGTTGCCAGCTTGAGCATCTCCTGTCCCATTGAGGACCCATAGCACCACAGCACACGAGGCAGCATAATGCAGAGGCAGCATAATGCAGAACACAAGAATATTAGGGAAGTCTCAAGAGCTAGTTCGGCCCTAGCATGCTCCGTTGCTAGCTTGAGCATCTCCTGTTGAATCAAGAGCAAGGGAGAACCGTAAGGAGCAACACAAGGGAGCAGCACATTGAAGCAAGCACAAGGCAGCACATCCCATCCCATCCCATCCCATCCCATCCCGTTCAACCCCATCCCACCTCTCCTTCCTCCCTGCTCACCTCTGCCAGCCCTGAATCCACCAGAAGCTTCCTCCTCTTCGCAAGGGACCGGGACCCCTGTGCTCCCTCCCCCTCCTCCTCCCCTTCCTCCTCCTCATCCTCGTCATCATCACTATCATCCATTGCTGCTGCTGCTGCTGCCGCCTTTCTCTTCTTGCCATCCAGCTTCTTCCCCTTCTTCTTCCCAGGCTTGACTGTTTTCTCTCCTTCCTCCTCCTCCCCCTCTCTCCCTCCTCCCCCTCTTCTCCTTCCTCTCCATCCTCTCCTTCCTCCCCTTCCTCCCCTTGTTCTCCCTCATCTCCCTCATCCTCCTCCTCTTCACCCTCACCCTCCTCCTCTCCTTCCTCCTCCTCATCTTCCTCTCCCATCTCAACTCCCTCACCTTCCTCCTCCTCCCCCTCCTCCTCCCCCATCTCCTCTCCATCCTCCCCTTCCACCATCATCCCCTCTTGCCCCTTCCCACCCTCCCCCTCCCCTTCCTCTCCCTCCTCCTCCTCCTCCCCCTCCTCCTCCTCCTCCTCCTCCTCTTCCTCCTCCTCCTCCTCCTCCTCCACTCTGCCGCCCACCACAACGGCCTGGGCGGCATCGGGCGGCAGGTAGCGGTGGGAGGAGGGGGCCAGCAGCTGCAGCAGGAACCGGCGACCGATTCGCTCCTGCATCACCTCATAGAGGTCCTTCATCAATTCCTTGATCACGAACTGAAAGAAGGGAAAGAGATGAGCCAGGAGGGTGAGAAGGGGGAGGAGTGGGGAAGGAGGGGGTCATTCATGCGCTCCTGCATCACCTCGAACAGATCCTTCATCAGCTCTTTGATCACGAACTGGACAGAAGAGGGAACAAAAGACGGCCGGAGGTAAAGGGGAGAGTAGGGGTTTGAGGGTGTAGTTAACTTAAGGAGGTGACTTCTTAGTCGACTCAAAAGGGGAGAGTAGGGGTTTGAGCGAGTAGTTAACTTAATCCTGAATCACCTCAAACAGGTCCTTCATCAGCTCTTTGATCATCCCCTTAAGCGCCTTTGCCACCCACCGCAACTCAACAGTCTTTCACGAGACATACCCGGTTGATAGGGCCAGAGGAGGCTGATTCGAGCAGCTGCAGCAGCAGCAGGTGGCCATGGTCGTCACACATCACCCGCGCTACCACCCCCTTGAGTGCCTTTGCCACCCGCCGCACCTCCTGCCATGGACACAAACATGCCGCGCCATGCCATACCGCGCCATACCATGCCGTGCCATACCATACCACGCCATGCCATGCCATGCAATACCATGTCATGCCACATTCCACATTCCAGGGAACAAATGTAAAGTGGAAAAGATGCATCAGCTGGTTGGTTGGTGAAAGAATAGAGTTAGAAATTTATGCACATGCCACACTAGAGCAAACTATTGAAATTAAGTGCAACATCCGCACAGGTTGTGCCGGCTCACCTTGGGAGTTGCTCACCTTGGGAGTTGCTCACCTTGGGAGATGCTCACCTTGGGAGTTGCTCACCTTGGGAGTTGCTCACCTTGGGAGTTGCTCACCTTGGGAGTTGCTCACCTTGGGAGTTGCTCACCTTGGGAGTTGCTCACCTTGGGAGTTGCTCACCTTGGGAGTTGCTCACCTTGGGAGTTGCTTGCGCCACCATGGTATTGGCGATCCTGACCCCGTCCCTCGTGTGCACCATGCGCAGCAGCAGCGCTCCCATCAGCTGCTGCCGCACCTCCGCCACCTCCCTCTGCACCCGGAGCCAAAGCAAACAGTGGCGGGGAAGGGACATGACAAAAGTGATTTTTTGAGACGTCTCAAAACATCACTCTGCACCCGGAGCCAAAGCAAACAGTGGCGGGGAAGCGCATGAGAGAAAAGGAAGGCGGAGAAGCGCACAAGGGGAAAGCAAGGCGAGAGGGGTTGGCTTCATGCGGTGCTGCTGCTGCCCGAGGGGGGCCCCCGCGAGAAGTTGCCTCCCATGGATGGACCTTGTGAGCGACTTTTGAGAAATTCTCAAAAGTTGCCTCCCATCCCATGGACTCAACCAGCGGGACGAGCAAGGGGAAGGAAGAGAATTGGCTCACTTTTCAAGGGCCGCCATGACCTGACTTACCTTGGAAATGACTCCCAGATAGTCTGCCAGAACGCGGTGAAAAAGCGAGTGGTCCACAATCCCCTTCTCGAGAATCGGCTGCAGGGAAGTTTCTAAGTGCTGCAGCACGGACTGCCGGCTGGTGCCCGAGGGGAGGTTCGCCAGCAGGTCGGAGAGGCGGCCGGCGCCCGGCAGGGCGAGGGAGGGGAAGAGGCGGAAGTCTGGCGCAAAGAACTCGGATGCGAGGGCTGAGCGTTGGGCTGGGGGTGAGAGCTGATATGCATGCTCTATGACTGGTGGGAAAGGAGGGTGTGGTGTGGGGAAGGGAGGGGCAGTGAGGGGAAGAGGCGGAACGAGAACTTTGAGGAGAAATGGCGAAGTTGCGGTTTGAGACGTCTGGAAAGGAGGTAGCGATGGTGCCATGGTGGTGCCATGGTGGTGCCATGGTGGTGCCATGGTGGTGCCATGGTGGTGCCATGGTGGTGCCATGGTGGTGGCATTGGGGGTGGCATGGGGCTGGCATGGGGCTGGCATGGATCCTCATATACAAGGTAATGCTAGCGCGACTAGAAACACGTAACAACACGCAGCCACGGCATCCTACATTTCAGCACTGGCGACAGGGTGCCGCATCATCTCCTCCACGTGCCCCCTCAGCTGGTTGCTGTGGCGCTGACTGGCAGCATCCGAGGCCCTTGCTGTACCAGTGCTAACACCACGTAAGGCACGTATAGAACCATCTCTCCCCCCTCACCCATGCGACGTACCAGCACTGGCGACAGGGTGCCGCATCATCTCCACCACGTGCCCCCTCAGCTGCCCCACGATGTCATGCTTCTTCTCCTTGCTCGCTGGCAACCATGCAGGGGAGAGAGGGTGAACGGAGGGGAGAAAAACAGGCAGAAAATGGCAGGGATTGTAACAAACTTGAGAGTTCTCACAAGTCGTCTCCACCACGTGCCCCCTCAGCTGCCCCACGATGTCATGCTTCTTCTCCTTGCTCGCTGGCAACCATGCAGGGGAGAGAGGGTGAACGGAGGGGAGAAAAACAGGCAGAAAATGGCAGGGATTGTAACAAACTTGAGAGTTCTCACAAGTCATCTCCACCACGTGCCCCCTCAGCTGGCCCACGATGTCATGCTTCTTGTCCTCACTGCCAGCCGTGCAGGGGAGAGGGGGACAGAAGGAAGGGGAGGCAAGTATCACTACAGAAGTTCTCACAACTCAAATGGTATTAGGGGAGCACTCAACCACTTTTGAGGCGCCTCAAAAGTCAACCACATGGACCATGGTGTGGCCTCAGTTGCCCCACCGTGGTCCATCATCCTGTTGACCAGGTGGTGCGCGTAGGGATGTACAGCCAGCCAGCTGGCGGCAGGGTGGCAGTTCTTGACTCTACCGGAAAGAAAGAGAACGAAGAAAGTAACCCACCGTGGTCCATCGTCCTGTTGACCTAGTGGTGAGCATAGGGGTGCATGTGCATGGCCAGGTCGCAGCAGTGTGGTGATTATAAAGTGAGTCTACTAAACAAGAACTCACCATGGTCCATCATCCTGTTACTGAAGGGTATTTTTGAGAATTCTCAAAAATACCCTTCCGCATCATGAACTCACCATGGTCCATCATCCTGTTACTGAAGGGTATTTTTGAGAATTCTCAAAAATAACCTTCAGCATCATGAACTCACCATGGTCCATCATCCTGTTACTGAAGGGTATTTTTGAGAATTCTCAAAAATACCCTTCAGCATCATGAACTCACCATGGTCCATCATCCTGTTGACCTAGTGGTGAGCATAGGGGTGCACGGCCAGGTCGCAGCAGGGGGAGGGCAGCTCAGAAAACACGGCCTCCCTCTCCTCCTTGCAGCCGTGCTTGACGCACATCTGCAGCACGCGTGACACCGTGCCGTGTGAAACCACGCCATCAGGGATCAACACACCCACACACACACACACACTCGCCATGCTCCATCATGCGGTTGACGAGGTGGTGTGCATAGGGATGCACAGCCAGCTCGCGGCAGTGTGGTGATTATAAAGTGAGTCTACTACACGAGAACTCACCATGGTCCATCATCCGGTTAACCAAGTGGTGGGCGTAGGGATGCACGGCCAGCTCGCGGCAGTGCGGGCGCAGTTCCGAAAACACAGCCTCCCTCTCCTCCTTGCGGCCGTGCTTGACGCACATCTGCAGCACACGGGACACCGTGTGGGACCGCGCCATCTCCACCATCTTCCCCTTCATCTTGCCAATCATCATTGTTACCAGCCTGGGAGGAGGAGGGAGGGGACAGCGAATCACGAATGAGAGACATGTAAAAGGGGAATTGATAATGAGCATGAGTATGATAGCACGTGGGACACCGTGTGCGTCCGTGCCATCTCCACCATCTTCCCCTTCATCTTGCCAATCATCATTGTCACCAGCCTGGGAGGGGGTGGGGAAAGAGAGAAGAGGGGGAGGAGGGGTGGGTCGGGGAGTGGGTGGGGGAGGGGAAGAGGCAGAGCCTCCCAATCCTCCATGCGGCCGTGCTTCACACACAGCTGCAGCGACTTTTGAGACGTCTCAAAAGTGCTTCACACACATCTGCAGCGACTTTTGAGACGTCTCAAAAGTGCTTCACACACATCTGCAGCGACTTTTGAGACGTCTCAAAAGTGCTTCACACACATCTGCAGCGACTTTTGAGACGTCTCAAAAGTGCTTCACACACATCTGCAGCGACTTTTGAGACGTCTCAAAAGTGCTTCACACACAGCTGCAGCGACTTTTGAGACGTCTCAAAAGTGCTTCACACACATCTGCAGCGACTTTTGAGACGTCTCAAAAGTGCTTCACACACAGCTGCAGCGACTTTTGAGACGTCTCAAAAGTGCTTCACACACATCTGCAGCGACTTTTGAGACGTCTCAAAAGTGCTTCACACACATCTGCAGCGACTTTTGAGACGTCTCAAAAGTGCTTCACACACATCTGCAGCGACTTTTGAGACGTCTCAAAAGTGCTTCACACACAGCTGCAGCGACTTTTGAGACGTCTCAAAAGTGCTTCACACACAGCTGCAGCGACTTTTGAGACGTCTCAAAAGTGCTTCACACACAGCTGCAGCGACTTTTGAGACGTCTCAAAAGTGCTTCACACACAGCTGCAGCGAACTTTCATTGCCTCCCTTGGACCCTTTCCCCATTTTCCCCCTTCCCCCCCCCCACTTCCCCTCGGCCCCCCACCCCCACACTGAGTGCCCATGCACGTATGCACGCAGCAACTTTTGAGACGTCTCAAAAGTCACACAGAGTACCCACGCACGCAGCACTCACTTGCGCTTCTTGTCCATGTCGATGTTCCTCTGCCGACTCTTCTCCCACAGTAACGTCAACTCCTGTTGCAGTCGGGCATACATTCAGTCACACACATGTACAGTCACACATACATTCAATCACACACATGTACGGTCACACATACATTCCGCCACACACATGTACAGTCACACATACATTCAGCCACACACGTGTACAGTCACACATACATTCAGCCACACACATGTGCAGTCACACATACATTCAGTCACACACATGTACAGTCACACATACATTCAGTCACACACACATGTACAGTCACACAGATATGCAATCACCAACGCATTCAGTCGGACATGCACACATGGCAATATCCAACACGAACCAAATGAGATAACATACATACGCACACCCGGGAGGGCAGCCTCAGGGCTGTGGCATTTCACGGTGACTTTTGGGTCGACTCAAAAGTCACGAACCAAATGAGACAACATACATACGCACACCCGGGAGGGCAGGCTCAGGTTATGGCATTTCACGTCATGGCATGGCATGGCATTGCGTGGCATGGCGTGTGGCAGGACGTGGCAGGGCGTGGCATGACGTGGCATGGCGTGGCTTGTAAAGACATAATCACCTACAGCCCCATCCCAGAAAGTCCCCTCCCAGAACCTCTCTCCTGGCTGCGCTGATGCACCAAGCCCGTTTGCTCCAAGCTCTTGACGCGCCTAAAAAATAAACCCAAAGTCACACCTGCGCTGTGCTGGTGCACCCAACTGCTTGCTCCAAACTCGCCTCTCACTACCACTTGGCACATGCTGAATCCCTGTTTCCTGAACACGCATTTTCCATGTCCGGGGTTTTGGGGTTAAACAGCGAACAACCTAAAGCCCTGGCACGCTAAACCAAGACTGTGCCCACCTTCTCGAGATCAAAGAGCGGGCGGCGGCGCTTCTTCCGCGCCTCCGCCAACTCCTGCGGGGAGGGGGGAGGGAAAGAGGGGGAGGGGATAAGAGGGGTTTAAGCGAGAGAGAGAGAGAGAGAGAGAGAGAGAGAGAGAGAGAGAGAGAGAGAGAGAGAGAGAGAGAGAGAGAGGGGAACGGAACCAAAGGAGGAGAGGGAGAACTTAAAGAGGGGACGGACGGGCGCGAGTGTGAGAGCGATACGAAGGGAGGAGGTGCGAGATGGCTTAAAGCAGCAAGCGCCGGAGGGTACAAAAGATCGGAGAGGTTCACAGAAGGGCAGGGTTTTAATGGGAGACGAGGTTCAAGGGGGGGACGGGGTTTAAGGGAAGGACGGGGTGCTTCAAAGCCGACTCAAACAAACGCAGGGTTTGAGTCGAATGCCTTGAATGCCCTTGCACGCACCTTCCGCTGCTTCCTATCCAATGGTCCGCTAGGCGCGCTCTCCCCTCTTCCTCCCCCTCGCCCCCGTCCGCCGCCCCGCCCCCCGTCCCTCCCGCGCCCGCCTCCCCTCCCCCACCCTCGCCCGCGCGCGCCTCCCCCTCCGCCCTCGCCTGAACCTCCGCCTGCGTCTTCAAACTTGCGCTTTCTCGAATCGCCCGGGCTGGCGCCCCCGCCGCGCCCAATCGCTCCGCCAGCTGCGCCCTGCTGTCTTCCCCACTCTCCCCTTCCCCCGCCTCTTCCGCCCCTCTCGTCACCTCTTCCGCGTCTGCCTCCCCAGCCTCCCCCTCGTCTCCCCCCGCCTCCATCCGATCCTCGCCCAGCCCCGCCCCCCGAACCTGAACCTCCCCAACCACCCTTGTACCCTGAACCTTGCGAGTCCCTTGAACCACTTCCGCCCCGTCCTCCTCTTCCACCTCTTCCGCCACCGCCCCTTCCGCCTCTTCCGCGGCCTCCGCCGCGAGGTTTTCCCCCCCAACTATCTGCCATGGTTCTAAGTGATTCTGTAGTTCGGTTCAAATGAGAAGTACTGGGTGCATTGTTGTGGAAATGGGTTGGGATATTGCGGGGGCTGGTTCGCGTTCAAAATCAGTTGCGGAGTGCGAGTTCCCGGTTGTGTGGGGTACAAGATTTCTTGGAGTGTATGTCAATGACATAGGCTAATTCGTAATTCTAGATTGGAGCAAGTTTTACTGTGCCAGACAGTGCTCTATGTCACAAACCGAATTCTCGTTTCTGTGTCCGAACCGAACGTGCTCTGATTGGTTTGCTGACAGCACAAACCGAACATCACAGTCTCCCAATTCGTCGACTTTCCCACCACGTCAAAGGAAACCAACGCTCCATGGATGATTGCGCTGGTCGTCGCTGTTGATTGGCTGATCTCACTGCACATTTCGTAACATATCCTTGTTGACAGACATCTATTACGCATCTCAGCCGTTCATAAAGCATCGGAAGGCTTTCATTCACCCGCATCAGCTTCCTTGCACTTTCGCTTTCCACGAAAATCGCGAATAACCCTGCGGTTCGCGCCAAACCGCAATTTCGTCGCGAACCACCAGGCACCTCCCTCACCTGTCAGCCACCAAAGCAAAAAGTCGTTTGACAGAAAACACACCGTAACTCAACTATATGTAGCAAGCAAAACCGTATTGAAACGCACAGAACTCCCTGTTAAATTTGTAGCCTGCAGAACCAACAAGCTCCCACACAATTCCTCGCTGCGCCTTCAGAATATTTAGCAGGCATCACGAAATACGTTACCCTGCACATAGTCGATCGAGTACAAGACCGCAACAATCTACATGTATGTCGGCCCTTAGTGAGAATAGCTGACTACACGGAAAAAAAAACCAATCCAACAGCCTCGCTAAATCCATACATTATCGCGATTCATCGTCTTGTGTTTTCAAGCTGCGCTCTAGAATTCTTGCCGGGAACAGACCCAAATTAACGATTACCCCAAGGTCGTTTCCGGCAATGGCCACGGCACTCGTACCATCAACACCAGCGACGCGTTCGCCAACGTCCTTCGCCGACCTATCAGAAGACGTGCTTCTGCACCTGCTATCCCGTCCATCCTCCAACCCGAACCGCGAGCTTTCCCCAGAAGACCTCGCGCGGCTCGAGGCGGTCTGCTACGCCCTCCGCCGCCCGCTCCTGCTCCCCCCGAACCGCCGCCACTCCGTCGTCGAAACCGCCGCGCGCGCACGATGCTTGCGCCACCCGCTGCTGGCGCGCGTGCCCGCGGACCTCCTGCGCGGAATGGCGGCGCAGCGGTGTGGCGGAAGCTGGCTGCGTGTGCTACGCTTCGCATGGGCGGTGGAGGACGCCTGGGGGTTGCGGCGGGAAGCGGAGGAAGAGGCGCTGCGAGGGGAAACCCGCGCGCCGAGCGCCGGCGCGCGGAACTCTGGCGAGCTGGCATCAGCAGTTTACGCGGGCGATTACTGTTCATTCCAGATAAAGACAAGCGGCGAACTGTGGGTTTATGGTTCAGGCTCGCGCGACGGTTCCCCGCTGTTCACCCTTCCGCCAGCCTCAAATCAACCTCCCCCAGATCAGCCCGCCCTAATAGCCGCCCCGGATCACCCTGCCCCAGATCAACCTGCCCCAAATGAACCTGCCCTGGCGAGAGACGGGAACCCGGCGGCAGGCCAAGGGTGGGCGGCTGCCGCCCTTGCTGCCGGCCTGGCGGCGGTTCGACTTGGAACTGGCGGCGCTGCCGTTCCAGCAGGCTCGGCAGCAACTGGTTCGGCGGTAGCAGGCGCGGAGAGGCCCGGCGCTCACGCGCAGCAGCAGGTGCAGCAGCGGCGGGAAGGGGCGCGCGGCCGGAGGGGAGCTCTGAGGACGCAAATCGTGGTGGGGGGAAGCGCGGACGCGGAGGGGAATGGGGGAAATGGGAGAAACCAGAGGGGAAACGGGGTGATAGGGGAGAACAGGGAGGAAGCAGAAGGGGGATTCGGGGAGAGAGTGGCGCAAGTGGCTGGAGGGAGGGCCTTCACTGTGATACTAACGAGGTCTGGAAGCGTTTACACTATGGGTCAGGACACTAACGGGTGCTGTGGCCACGGGCAAGACGGGGTGGGGAAGAAATTTCCCCAGCCGAAATTAGTGGAGGCTTTAAGAGGCGTGCCATGTCAGCAGGTCGCGACAGGGAGGAGCCATGTTCTCGTGCTGGCTAGGGATGGGACTGTGTATGCGTTCGGAGCGGGTGGCAATGGCCGGCTGGGTCTGGGAGATACGGACGACAGATGCCGGCCGACGGTCGTGGAGGGACTGCGGCCGGAGGTGCTGGCGGCCATGCTGAGCGGCAATGGTGGTCAAATGGATGGCAACAACGGTACGGGCGGCAGCAGTGGCGATACGGGCGGCAACAACAACGAAACGGGCGGCAGCAGCAGCAGCAGCAGCATCAGCAGCAGCAGCAGCAGTGACCCGTACGGGCAGTACCGAATAGTGAGTGTAGCAGCAGGCGCGAGCCACTCCCTGGCCGTCACTGCTGCCGGTGTGGTGCTGGCGTTTGGCCGCGGGCACAGCGGCCAGCTGGGGGGCGCGCAGGGCTGGGGGAGCTGGGCGGGGGGCGCGCAGGGGTGGGGGACCTGGGCGGGGGGCGCGCAGGGGTTGGGGAATGAGAGGGAGGAAGGGATGAGGGGAGGAGGGGCGCGGGTGGGGCAAGTGCAGGGCCGAGCGGGGGGTGTTTCTAGAGTGCATGTGGGCAGGCGTGCTGGAGGCTCTGCTGCTACAGCTGGCAACACTACAGCCAGTGCCACAGCCGGTGCTACTGCCGCAGGCAGAGCCACAGCTGATGTTAATGCTACCGGTAGCGCTAGAGCCGCACATGGTGGTGGTGCTACAGCTGCTGCAGCGATGGCCGCTGCTACAGCCGACCTGTCTGATTGCCTGGTGCCGCATCCCATAGCATGGCTGATGGGGGCGGGCGTGCGTGTGATAAAGGTAGCGGCTTCAGTTGATTACTCCGCTGCTCTCGACTGCCTGGGACGGGTGAGTGCACGTATGAGGTGTGTGTAGCGGTGGTAAGAGGTGTTTGGTGGTGTGAGAAGGTGTAAAATGTTGGACTCCGGTGCTCCTGACTGCCTGATACAGCACCCCATGGCGCGGCTGGTGCAGGCAAGTATGTGTGCGGCGAAGGTGGCTTATTCCATTCGCTGCTGTTTTGAGGCGCCTCAAAACTGGTGCAGGCAGGTGTGGCGATTTTTGAGGCGCCTCAGAAAAACTATGTGTGAGGCGAAGGTGGCTTATTCCATTCGCTGCTGCTGCTGCTGCTGCCTTCCCTTGTGCGTAGGTCCATTCACCTGTCTCTCTCACTCTCTGCGTACTGGCAGGTGCACATGTGGGGTTCGGGCTACTGTGGGTGCCTGGGCAACGGCAGCGAGGCCAATGCGGTGCTGCCACGTGTCGTGGAGGGACTGCTGCACACGCGGATAGTGCAGGTATGATTGAACAATCGCGCTCTCTCTTTACCTATCACATGGGTTCCGCATTGGTGTTTGCATCGACTTTACAATCACCTTCCTTCACATTCGTTTTCTCCCTCGATCCAGGTGACTCTGGGCAAGCGCAAGATGCTAGCTCTGGATGACCAAGGCCAGGTGCTGGCCTTTGGTTAACAGCGCAGTGACTCTACATACAGTCACATAAAACATGACTTGTAATCGCACTTGTTCATATAATCTCACCCCTCGATCCAGGTGACTCTGGGCAAGCGCAAGACGCTAGCTCTGGACGACCAAGGGCGGGTGCTGGCGTTTGGGTGGACAGCGTTTGGAGGGCTGGGTGTGGCGGCAGGGCGGGACAAAGTGTTTGCTCCCATGCCGGTCGAGGCTCTGGAGGGGAAGCGAGTGGTGCAGGTGAGATGGGCGGATGGGCGGATGGGCGGATGGGCGGATGGGCGGATGGGCGGATGGGCGGATGGGCGGATGGGCGGATGGGCGGATGGGCGGATGGGCGGATGGGCGGATGGGCGGATGGGCGGATGGGCGGATGGGCGGATGGGCGGATGGGCGGATGGGCGGATGGGCGGATGGGCGGATGGGCGGATGGGCGGATGGGCGGATGGGTGGATGGCACTTCGAAAGTGTCTCACAGATGTTGTGGCAGGGCGAGTCTAGGTGCTTGCTCCCATGCCGGTCGAGTTGGTTTTTGAGAATTCTCAAAAACCAGGGCGATTCAAGGTGCTTGCTCCTATGCCAGTCGAGGCTCTGGAGGGAAAGTGAGTGGTGCAGGTGAGAGGGACAGGCAAGAGGTTACATTGTTGCAAATTAATCCTGCGTGCTGCTTGAGAGTGATGAGATGCATATATGGGAGTCAATGAGATGTGGCTACGCTGAGTCAGTTTGCGAGTGAATTTTCCATGTGCCATGTCATGCCAATGAGGAGATCAGCAAGCATATGGGAGCCTATCTCATTGACTTTTGAGACGTCTCAAAAGCATATGGGAGCCTGGTATCTCATTGTTGTGTGCATTGCCTCATGCAACGATGGCCATCTATGGTAGTGTTGAGGCAACTAAATGGTAATTCGCTTGCATGTGTCTTATTCTCTGTGTGGTTGGTTCTTGGCAACAAGCAGATCAGCACGGGGGCTTACCACACCGTCGCCTTGTGTCATAACGGCACCTGCATTGGCTTTGGGGACAACGAGCAGGGACAGCTGGAGCTGCACTGATGGGGCAGGGACAGCTGGAGCTGCACTGATGGGGCAGGGACAGCTGGAGCTGCACTGATGGGGCAGGGACAGCTGGAGCTGCACTGATGGGGCAGGGACAGCTGGAGCTGCACTGATGGGGCAGGGACAGCTGGAGCTGCACTGATGGGGCAGGGACAGCTGGAGCTGAACTGACCATTATCTGTGCTGCCCTAAGAGCTAGTTCCTACACCTCGTATCAGACACGCCTCGTATCAACATCGCGTGATGAAATACGCTTCAGTGTGTTCGACTGTGGTTGGATGCGTTTTAGGGCATGTTCCTACAGCCCCTTATCAGGGACACCTCATATCAGTTTCGCATTTTTGCCTGGTGAAATTCACTAAGGTTTTTGGGTTTAGGGAAATTTCAGTGTGTTGTGACGCGAGCCTGATAAGAGGTTGGCCTGATATGAGGCCGTAGGAACATGCCCTTAGTGCGGTTTGACGCAAATATGATACGAGGTTGCCTGATATGAGGCCGTAGGAACACGCTCTCAACTGCACTCGAAAGCTCAGCTGCACTCAAGCCATGCCACTTCAATTGTAATAAGGGTACAATACATGCCATGTTCCCAAATGTTAATACCCCTATGTGTGAACACAAATCATATATAATCTGCTAGGTGGTACGATGCGTAGCAATGCAAGGAAACTATACCAATAAATGGTTTGTCTGGAAAGTTGCACTCATTTGAGACATATGGTAAGAGTTTGCAGCACCTGAAATGCGGCAGTCAGCTTTCAAAACAAAAAAAATACCTAGAGCAGTTGAGAGACAATCACTAGCTATCATACCGAAACTTAACAAGAGAGTTACATGCAAGAGTGCTGCAGAGATATTATCGTTGGCAACAAAAAGCAGTTTTTCAATAATAAGCAGAGGAGAGTGATTGCTTGCGGCGGGGCTTTTCCGGTCCTCCCTGTTGCTGCCGCATCATGGCTGCAAACTCCTCGTAGTCAATCGTGCCACTCTGATTTCACACGATGGGAACGTGGATGGGGCCGGCAGGAAGAGAGATGCAAGATGAATGACTGAGCATCCCTCCCCCCCCCATCAGTTCACCAGTCCATGCCCACTTACTAACACATCTGCTCAATGTCACCCAGCTCTAGCAGGCCCTCGTCCCCCCAAACACACGTTTGATCACTCCATACCGCCACTCCCACTCCACATGCCATCCCCAACCCTCTCCCACCCCCTCAGTCTCACCTCATCCGTGTCCCCTTGCTCAATGATCCGCTCGATGCTCCCCAGCTCTAGCATGCCCTTAACACCACTTTCAACACCACCACCACTCATGCCATCCCCAGCCCCACCTCTCTCTCCTCTCCCTCTCAACACACCTTATCCGTGTCCACTTGCTCAATGATCTGCTCGATGTCTCCTGGCAACAGCATGCCTGCCCTCACCCCCCCACAAACACACTTGTGATCACTATGAACTGCAAGCCACCCAACATGCCATCCCCCACTCCCCCCCTCTCAACACACCTTATCCGTGTCCACTTGCTCAATGATCTGCTCGATGTCTCCTGGCTCCAGCATGACCTCAACACCACACCGTCACATCCGAGTCACCACACACGCACGCACCCCATTCAGTCACTCCCAACCCCATCCCCCTCCTCTCCCCTCTCAGCGCACCTTATCCGTGTCCACTTGTGCAATGATCTGCTCGATGTCCCCCGTCACCAGCATGCCCTCAACAGTCAACACCACACCACCACGTTCAGCCACCCATCATTGCCACTCATGCCACTCCCAACCCCCTCCCACCATCCCCCTCTCAGCGCACCTTATCCGTGTCCACTTGCTCAATGATCTGCTCGATATCCCCCGGCTCCAGCATGCCCTCATCCTCCAGCGCCTCCCGCAGCTCGCTCACCGTGATGGTGCTGGTAAGGTGGGGGGTGGGGAGTGGGGGGAAGAGAACAAGGGAAGGGAAGGGGTGTTAGGACAGTAATTGATGGCAGTGCAGTGGTGGGAATGAGGCTCCAGCATGCCCTCATCCTCCAGCGCCTCCTGCAGCTCGCTCACCGTGATGGTGCTGTGTGTGGGGAGGGAGGGAGGGAGGGAGGGAGGGAGAGAGGGACGGAGGGTGGCTTTGATTTGGGAGTGGGGAGAACGAGAAGGACATGCCTCGTCGTGCCTGCTTCATACCCCTACTACTTCACCGTGATGGGGCTGTCATGTCAGAGAACGGGAGGGGGGGGGTGGGGAGAAGGGGAGGGGAGAAGGGGAGTTGGGTGGAGAGCGCAGGAGGGCCAGGTTGGGTGGGGAGGGGTGGGGGCTGGGAAGGCTGTAAATAGGGCCTGCAAAGATGATTGCGCCCACAAGGGACTACATACCCAGCACCCACCACCGACTCGTTTCTGACCCGCTGGCATCGCATGCCGTCGTCCATCTCAGCCCAACCGCTGCTGTCCTTGTTGCAGTGCTTGGAGGCGGTGAGGATGTGTGGGTTTGCTGACCAAAGTGCCCTGTCAGCTAGAAACTAGATGCTGTCTCATCTTGCCTCACCTCCCCCTCTCAACCACTGCCGTGCCTGTCTCAACCACTGCCGTGGCTGTCTCAACCACTGCCGTGCCTGTCTCAACCACTGCCGTGGCTGTCTCAACCACTGCCGTGGTTGTCTCAACCACTGCCGTGCCTGTCTCAACCAGTGCCGTGCCTGTCTCAACCACTGCCGTGGCTGTCTCAACCACTGCCGTGGCTGTCTCAACCACTGCCGTGCCTGTCTCAACCACTGCCGTGGCTGTCTCAACCACTGCCGTGGCTGTCTCAACCACTGCCGTGCCTGTCTCAACCACTGCCGTGGCTGTCTCAACCACTGCCGTGCCTGTCTCAACCACTGCCGTGGCTGTCTCAACCACTGCCGTGGCTGTCTCAACCACTGCCGTGGCTGTCTCAACCACTGCCGTGGCTGTCTCAACCACTGCCGTGGCTGTCTCAACCACTGCCGTGCCTGTCTCAACCACTGCCGTGGCTGTCTCAACCACTGCCGTGCCTGCCTCAACCACTGCCGTGGCTGTCTCAACCACTGCCGTGGCTGTCTCAACCACTGCCGTGCCTGTCTCAACCACTGCCGTGGCTGTCTCAACCACTGCCGTGCCTGTCTCAACCACTGCCGTGGCTGTCTCAACCACTGCCGTGGCTGTCTCAACCACTGCCGTGGCTGTCTCAACCACTGCCGTGGCTGTCTCAACCACTGCCGTGGCTGTCTCAACCACTGCCGTGGCTGTCTCAACCACTGCCGTGGCTGTCTCAACCACTGCCGTGGCTGTCTCAACCACTGCCGTGCCTGTCTCAACCACTGCCGTGGCTGTCTCAACCACTGCCGTGGCTGTCTCAACCACTGCCGTGGCTGTCTCAACCACTGCCGTGGCTGTCTCAACCACTGCCGTGCCTGTCTCAACCACTGCCGTGGCTGTCTCAACCACTGCCGTGGCTGTCTCAACCACTGCCGTGCCTGTCTCAACCACTGCCGTGGCTGTCTCAACCACTGCCGTGGCTGTCTCAACCACTGCCGTGCCTGTCTCAACCACTGCCGTGGCTGTCTCAACCACTGCCGTGCCTGTCTCAACCACTGCCGTGGCTGTCTCAACCACTGCCGTGGCTGTCTCAACCACTGCATCCCATGCCGTCTCACCCGCTGCCGTCCTTGTCGAAGTGCTTGAAGGCGGCCAGGATGTGCTCCTCCTTCTCCACGCTGTTCATCTCCTTGTGTCAACGCACCATAGCAGCCGGAGCCTACATGTTGTCTCATGTCACCTCTCATCTCAACCACTGCCATCCCATCTCAACTCACCCGCTACTGTCTCTCATCTCACCCGCTGCCGTCCTTGTCGAAGTGCTTGAAGGCGGCCAGGATGTGCTCCTCCTTCTCCACGCTGTTCATCTGCATCGTTGCTGTGATGAACTCTGTGTAGTCGATCGTGCCACTGTTGTCCACGTCCGCCTGGGGGAAAAGATGAAGGGTAGGGGTGGGGGAAGGAACAAGAGTCGGGGTGTGGGGACAGTGGGACGGGCTGTGATGAACTCCTTGTAGTCGATGGTGCCGTTGTTGTCCACGTCCGCCTGCCACCAGAGGAGAAGGAAGGCGGCACAGGGAGTTTGGAGTGGTGTGAGAGGGTGTGATGGGACTTCTCAACGCTCTACATCTGCATCGTTGCTGTGACAAACTCCGTGTAGTCGATGGTGCCGCTGTTGTCCACGTCCGCCTGGGAGGGATGGGAGAGAGGAGTGAAGGAAAAAAAAAAACGATTTGGTTGAAGATGAATTCTAAGAAGCTGTCAACCGCGTGACAGAATTTATGGCTCGTTTAGGCGGAAAACCGCCACGTTAGGGACGTCTCAAAACTCAACAAACTGTCTCCAGACCTGAAGTTAAGAGTCACGGCCACTCACCACCTCCATGATCGCTGTAGCTGGTCGGGCGGGATGGGGCTGCAAAGGCACCTCATCTCTGAGACATCTGACAGCACTCACACACACTCACTCACTCACTCACCACCTCCGTTTTCACCTCCACTCACCGCCTCCATGATCTGCTGCAGCTGGTCGGGCGGGATGGGGCTGCCGAGGCGGCGCATGCCCTCGCGCAGCTCGTCATACGTGATGCTGCCGCTGCCGTCCTTGTCCATCTCCTTGAACATCTTCTTCAGCCCCGAGATCTCCTCCCGCGACAGATTGCACGCCACCACCTGGTCAGTAGGACGGGAGGGAGGGGGGAGGGGAGAGGGGGAAGAAGGGGGGGGGCGCACGTGGAGGGAGGGGAAGAAAAGACCAGGGGAGGGCGAGATCGAGGGGGAAAAAGGGGGTGGATAGGAGAAGGGGCAGTGAGTGACATGCTTGGGAGGGCAGGTGGGCGGCTTGATTGCCGTCCTTGTCCATCTCCTTGAACATCTTCTATAGCCCCAAGATCTCCTCGCGTGACAGGTTGCACACCACCACCTGGGTGAAGTTGGAGGATTGGCGAAAG